AAAAAAAAGTTTTTTTCTTTCCTCTCTCCTCTTTAGTGAGCAAAACCCCCCCCCCCCCCCCCCCCCCCCCTCTTCCCGTGGAGTTGAGCTTCACCTCTCTAGTATAAATAGAGTTTATTCTCAGCCACCGTGCCTCCAGGCAGAGAGCCTCATTATAGCACCATCTCTCCTCCAGCAGCCCCCCACTATTCTGCAGCATCTTCCAGCAACCATGATGCCTTCTGGCTCTGCTCCTTCCATTAGGCCTGGTGGTCATGTCAAGGAGGCTACAGCAGACTGTCACCCCACACACAAACTAAATCTCAGGATTTCACACTCACGGCTATTCTTGCCTGTCTGTCACATTACCAGCTTGCTAGCAAGCACTCAGATATATTATTTATGGTCTACTCTTTAACTTGGACAATTGCATAAAATGTGTGCGCATGAGTTTGCGAGTAAGAGTGTGTGTAATCTAGTGCTGCAGCAGGTTTTAGAGCCTGGTTTACAACTTCTAAAGGATAATTAACTTATTTTAAATAAAGTTTTGTAAGTCAGGGGCATTTAGTTCAGAGTTCCAAAGGTTAAAAGTCTTCCAGCAGTAAACATAATGTAAAGAATTGGTACAGTGCATTTTGGGTTCTAACAGTTTAATGGCTGCCTAAACCCAGCAACTGTGTCACTTAGAGTTTACTCAGGTTATAAAACAAATAATGTGCTCTTACTTTAAACTGAATTAATTGAAGACAAACTTTCTGTTTGGCAAAGAGACCTGAGCAGCACGGAGCGACTTGCTTTCATGTTGGTGCAAATGCTTGAAAATGTGTTAAAAGTTTGGTGAATGTCACAACACAAAAATAATGTAATGAAATTAAATTATTATTTGTTACAACCACACTTGATGGCTGATATGATCATGTTTATTATACCTTTAACATAAATTGACTGCTATTGTTGCCAGCACATTAGCTGCCACTCTTCTGGATTTATTAAGGAGCTGTCATTCTGAACATGGACAGAACATTGAATTTGACAACACAAATAACTTTTTAAAATATGTGGACGAACTATGGAAGGTGACAATACAGACAATATCACCAGAGAGGATACAGTAACTGGATGTTATTGGAAATGTTAAAGATAAGGGACAGGCTATTCCAGCCGTCACGTTTGAACGAGTCACATGTTTGTTGCATGAATAGTCTTCAGACTAACATTAGCTGACAGTATTGCTCTATTATTTATGAAATTGACATAACTCCTTCAATATCACAAAGTCTGTCTAACCGGTGGCTAGTGATATCATTTATATTGGATGGAAAGCATTAATGATTTATCAGGGTGACAAATATTTCTTTAAACGTACATAGCACCATTTATAAAATTTGTTTTGAAATGACAGTGGAATTATAGTAACTTGAATGGACTTTCTTAAATTTTGGGTCAAAAAAGTGTATTCAAAAATAGGTGAGTCATTGCCGAACAAATTGCATTCACCCCCTCGGTTTGACACAATGTGGATTAATCAACTAGTCCCCCCGGGGAAGAGGACAGAATAGCAGGCTGATGAAATAGCTTAGACAATCAGAGGACAGTCAGATCGTGCTGATTGTGCTGTGTGTGTGTGTGTGTGTGTGTGTGTGTGTGTGTGTGTGTGTGTGTGTGTGTGTGTGTGTGTGTGTGTGTGTGTGTGTGTGTGTGTGTGTGTGTGTGTGTGTGTGTGTGTGTGTGTGTGTGTGTGTGTGTGTGTGTGTGTGTGTGTGTGTGTGTGTGTGTGTGTGTGTGTGTGTGTGTGTGTGTGTGTGTCATTCTCAATATGCAGGCCTTGAGCTGATCATGATCCAGAATGCCCAGATGCACCAGGTCATCATGAATAACATGGCAATATTGGCTCTCAGCTCGTTCGGATGCTCCAGCTCTCTGTCGGGCCCTGGGGTGGGTATCAGACAAGGATCAGGGTCAGTTCATTCCATAAAGTGTCAAATTTTATTAAAATGGATATTGACTTTTGGAATGGAGAAAAATTCACATTAATTTGTTCAGTGTGTTGGAGTGTATCACCCACATTATCACATTTTTCCAATCCACATGTAAAAACAATGTCAGCTTCTATATGATAGCGTCCCAAATTCCAAAGTTTCCTCCCACCTCACTGTTGATGTGTTGAAACTCAAATGTGTTTTATGTTTCAAGATATCAACGGTGAGTTGCATGGAATTGTTGGGCTGTTGGATGTTAAAACAAAATACACAGTATGTAACTCCTATTTGTTGAATGGAACTGGGAAACTATGGACATAATCGAGGACTGAGTCTCTTTGTTGGGTAAAACTGTTTACATTTACATTTATAATTTTGTGAATAAATAATGAAACTTGTTGTTAGTCCTTATAAATTCTTAAAATACATAAACAAGGTTTTTCAGTTCTAACACAAAAGATATTGTTAGTTAAGTAGTGAAAACTTTGTAATGATTTTAAAGGCAGGAAACATTTTCTCTTCAGAGGCTCACCTGTGTCAGGCAGATTCAATCTGTGTATTAGTCCATGAAAATCATTCCTAAAATAGCTCAAACTTTCTCAAGCTTTGAAGACACATGGGTGTTAATTACTGCAGGTGTGGCAGGACGTAATTAAAGTAAATTGGTGCTATGTTGTCGATTTGATTTAAATACATTGCAAAGATTAAGCAAAACTTGATAGAAATCTATTTTAAGGACATTAATGCTTTTCAAGTCAGATGAGCTTTTAGAGGTCTATTGGCTTTGTCATATCTTTAGTTGAGATTTCAACCCACACATTTTTTTTTTTATGAGACAGGATGTTCAGGGAAGCAAGGAACGGGATGTTTCATGTCTGAGATGTACTTGGGCTTTTTAATAACACTATCAGAAATGTAGAAAAAGAAGATGTGTGCATAAAAATCACAACTAAGCAACTAGTTAGTTTTTCTCACTAAATGAGACCTGAATGAAGAGAAATGCTTTCCATTCTCTGTCACCTAAGTCAGTAGGACTCAAACTTCAAAATCCCATGGTAGGTTTCAGAGTAGTAACATGATGCATCTGGGGCCCATTTAATAAATCTGTATGGTAAAGAAGACACTAAACTGTGTTTTATGTATCAGTTGTCATTGGGCCTTTAATCATTGCCCATTTATACACACATAAGAGATGTAACACACTCATTACTATTTTTTCTTTTCATGAGTTTCCCTCACCCAGCAGCGCTAAGACGTCACGCCTGCAGCAGGTAAAACCAACCACAGAGCAACACCCAGCCAATAGCCAATTAACAGGGCCGCTCCTGTGATGTCATGGGGCCCTTCACAGCTGGGTGACAAGAGAAGTGCCAACAACAGGCTTTACAGTAATTGTGATGAGAAGTGTACTGATTGGGAAAGATGCTTGTGACTATAATGCCGTTGATTGTGAATGGCTGAAGATATGAGTTAATCAGATGCTTTCGATTTGCATGATGTTTTATCTTTTTCTTTAAATAGAGAAAAATTGTGCTGCCGAAACAGAGAAAAAGAGAGAAATATACAATATATATATATATTTCTTTGTATGGGAACTAGTAGGTAAAAAAAATCATTCATCTTCACTCAAAGATCATAATTTCACATTCATATTTGACATTTTGTTCATTTTCAATAGATGAAACAGCAAAATAAATATAAAGTTGTTCTATGCTAATGCGATTTTTATGCCATTACTTCCTTCAACCTGCATTACCAAAATTGGCCACTAGGGCGCAGCAGCAGATGTTAAGTGGGATGGCAAAGAGCAAGCAAGATTTACTTCTATATTGATAAGCAAGAGTGTGACAACACATACAATCTATTGCCATGCAACACCGTGTGACCTTGTCTTTAAATACAAAGTGATGAGAAGCTGGAAGGATGAGAGGGCACACTACTCCATCTCTGCAGGTGACGACAACAATAGCAACACAAATGTGAAAACTGCACAACAACAGCGTAATTCACGCCTTGAATTTAATATTTTTAACATGTTTAAATAAGAAAGGTATACTATTTACACGTTTTCGTCACTGGTTTCATCTTAGGTAAAGGTGTTAAGATCATGCACAGTGTAAGCAAAGTCTTAAGAGTTGCAATAACTGGCTTGCCGTAGCAGTTTTACCTGATGGGAAAATACAGCCAGAACCATGTAGTTGAGGCAGCTGAGGCCTAAGAAAGAATTTCAGTGTCAATTTACAAGGTTTGTCTGTGACAACACACAACATCTCAGTTTCTTGGCACCGACTGAAAATAGTTTCAGGGTTCAAAGGTTAATTTGGAGTTTGAAAACTGAACTGTGAAGGGAGGGAGGATTTAAGCAGCAGTTTGGAAGGGTATAATTATAAAGATAGGGTGTGAAGGGTGAAGCACACCCAAAATCTCTGATAGAACACTCGGATTAAGAGCTCAAATGGGAGGGACGTGCCAATCTGGCTGCCTCTCCACTGTCTCCAGGGTAATGCCAATGTTTACCCAGCTATTAATATCAAACCACCACACGTTGCCTATCACAGAGACACAAGTGAGAGTGACATGAGAGACAGAGAGAGAGAGATACGTCAGGAGGAGTTAATGAGACAAATCAGAGGAGGAATGAGATTAAAGAAGGGCCGCAAATAGCAGAAGTAATAACTGATCAATTAGATTGAGCATATAGATTTAGAGTAAATGAAGAGGAGGTGATGCAGTGCATCTAGTAAAGCACTGCACACCAACAGGGGAACAGTGCGCTCTGTGCTGGAAACAAACACAGGTGGTGGAACATGAGAGATAAATGAGGGCTGTAAAGTGGTGAAGTGGGGATTGTTCAGAGGGTGGAGGACACTCTCACATTGTATATGTATCCAAATTATGGGTGACAGATACCTAGGTATTTATTCCAGCCCGTCTGGCATCATGGCACCTCCTGAAATCCATTTCACTGCTGCTGTTATTCGCATATTTTCTTTATTCATTCATATTGTAATTTGTTTGTCACATCATATCATTGTCTGGCTATAGCCATTTTAGCTGAAAACATATTTATCCCCTCTTTTCTTTGTTGAATCCCATTTTCTCCTGTCCAGAACCCAATATCTAAAGCTGCAAGAGAGTCCTCATCACAGATGTTACGGCCTGGCCAAAATACTTGCAAACCAGGTTACAATAAGCTTTGATTACTTTTCACTCAGGTTTATATTTTATCTTCATTTTAAGTATTGTGTCATTCAACAAAGTCTTACTGTGGCACAAAGCCTTTTTCATTCACCATTGAATGTGAAGAGAACATGTTCATGCTGTATCCAAAAGAAAACAGTGACAAAAGAGTGAAGAGCAGCTTGGCTTTTATTATAAAATATAAATATCTAGGGAAAATATTTCAACATGATTGCACACATTTCAAATTCATTCACAACACTATTCTCATGCTCATCTGTTCTTCTATCAGATATACAGCATATACGATACATATATATATATATATATATGAGCTGCACACTCAACTAACAAGGCAGATCACTTACTACATAAGGTTATTAGTTTCAGTCCTCTTGGTTAGAGGTGTCAGCCAACACACACACACACACATTATGTACAACTGCTGTGTCTGATCACGCCAAAACATTCTGTGCTCTTCATGGAGATCAGAGACTGACCAACATCACGGCATGTTCCAACAACCCCTCACCCCTCCCCTCTCCCTCGCCCATCTTTCCATCTGTCACTTTCTGCGTCATTGCATCCCTTCACCACCTACTACAGGTATAGTCCTTCAATCTGATAACCTCAAGAACACTTTCATTTACCAGGATATTTGCACTATTCATTACAAAATAGAGACAAAACTAATTGTATGCAGAGTGGTTAAGAAATTGTTCCACAGAGAGATCGGCAGATATGGTGAGACCAGCTGGCCAGCACAGGCAGAGATCAGCCCATGACACAGCTGAGAACACACACCCCTCCTCACCATCACAATGCAAATGCCTTCACATTACCATTTCTAATACCACTGACCGGCACAAGCCAACAATGACTGGTGCTGTGCTCGCCAAGAAACACAGATAGTGCTAGAGATCTACAGTATTTAAGGTTTTTGATGAATGTCACTAGAGATAAATCTATATATATCTTGTCATGCTCTTTCCTGACACACACAGCTCAATGAATAATCTTTCCCAATCGTCACCCAACTTGTCTCTCCTTGACATCCCATCTTTCGCTTCTTTTTTTCACCCTCTCTGGGCCTCTTGAGACATGGAGCGCCCAAGGTCTTTGGGTGCTTTGAAGAACTCCATAAGTGTTGGCTTGACTGGGGGGAGGTCTCTTGTGATCTCGTCCACGGTCTTCTTGTTGGGACAGGCTCCGTCTGGGATGGCGAAGGGCTGCATGTCCTCCTCGGTGTGTGGGGCTCCACGTCCAAGCCTGACACCCAGCTCTGCGGGGGTGAAGATGGGCAAGGGGAGGGTTTTTCTCTTTGGCAGCAACTGGTGCTCCCTCACCCCTCTTTCCACTGTGCCCACTCTGAAGACACCAGATGGGCAGGTCTGCTTCAGCGAACGGGCCTGCCACTGCCGGGACAGTGTCTCCCTACGAGAGTCATCATTCATGTTCATTGTCTGCCTGCGGGCATCAGAGAAAAAAGTTGTTGGAAACTGTGGGATCACTCATTGTGATTTACCTTCGTAATTAGACTACAACTGCCTTCCAATATGAGAACAGTTTCACCAAGAATTGCCAAGTAGATGAGCAAGTAGATCTCAATCCATCCTGATGATGGTAAGGACGATTTTTAATCACAGCCAGGATGTAATTAATACAAATTGATTTTTTACCACTTATTCACTGGTGACACATAGAATGTTCTCTGTTTGGTCTGTGAGCTCTCACCTGTCCTGAGGTCGAGTCTTGAGACTGACACTACGCCAGTCAGCGCTGTAGCTCTCCCTATGAGCCTTGTTTTCTTCCTGTACGCTGCAGGTCAGCTCAGCTCCCACCACCACACTGTTACGTTTCTCCAGGACGGTACACACTGGCTTCATCTCTGCTGTGGGAAGACCTGTCTCGGATGTATCGCCTCCAGTCGATCTTGTTGATCAGTCTTAAGGTTTGGTGTTGTGTCTGTGAGGAGGCTGTTTGTTCGAGGGAACAGGGATGCTTCAGCTGGCTGTATCTCCTGGCTCCCACTATCTCTTTGTGCTGTCTCTGTCTGGACTCGGGTCTGTCCTTTTATAGATGTTCTGTTGCTATTCCTGATCCATGTTGTCACTCTACAATCAGTCTGCACTGACATCCAACACCAAGTACTCCGTGTCTCATTCCCTAAAAGCTGGAAGCCCCCACATTCTGAGGAGGGGTAAGGGGTATAATTGGGGTAAAGATCCCCTGATTCTCAAACGGTATGCCCTGTCTTCTTTGTAATAACTCAGCCCAACATTTTCCACTTCAGATCGCGATGTCTTTGAGGGGAAAGTATCATGGAGACACTCTGTATGGAGATTAGACAAACATGTTGACAGACACACACAACAGGTTTAGTCTTCGGAGAGGACTCTTAATAAGGGTTTGGTCCTGATGTACACGAAGCAGCAAGTGACACCGCATTAATGTGGAAAGATAACAATGATGCAGCTGTTTTTCATACGCAGAGGATATTTCAGGCAGTAGGTTAAATGTGTGTGCGTCAGAAACAACAGGTCTGTCACTGGGAGATAAAAGGTGAAAAGCTAGATAACTTTATGGAATAGCTTGTCACATCCTGCGGACTTTAAAATCATAATACAGTTCACAGGGAGTTTCAACAACAGCTGTGCCTTGTGACAATATCAACCCCCCTATTTAAATGTCATTGCAGTGTGCTGCCAGTAGCAGTGAGAGCTCCATCCCCAGTGATTCATTACCTCAGTGACAGAACGCCATGCAAGACATAATCAACTCAGGTTACAGACTGTGAAACACACACACACACACACACACACACACACACACACACACACACACTAACCTCTGACAGTTGTCTGCTGGTGTGATGTTACTACCAGTCCCTGACTCTGACTCATTCATCCATGTCAGGTACTGATATCATCAGAGATCAGATAACACACACAACAACATAACGTATAATGATCCTGATGACAAGATCAATCACACAGTCTTTCACATGTAGTAGTGAAAAAAGTGCATTCAATCTGCTATATCTGTGCCAAATTATGACATCAAATCAAAACATCAAGCTAAAATTGATGCCATTCATTTTCACTGACTATTCGTGCCCTATATACTGTATCTCACGTAACAGTTAAATGCTATTTTCCCTCTGCCTGTCAAGTGTACTCTTGTCAGGAGGATGACATTGCATATTTGAATTATTGCTCAGTGTCAGAGAGGTGAAAGAGGGCAACTGCACCGTAGGCATCCTTGTGGTCATGCCTTCAGTCATGTTATGATACCATGGCAACCACGAAATACTATTTCAGAAACCTAATAAGTCACAACACAATGTCCCCCAGTGTTGAGATTGTAAACTTGAGTAGATAGATAGTACACAGAGTACTTTTTGTTATGATTGAGGTATTCACCTGCTAAAACTGCAGGAGGACATCAGATGGTTGTCACCTCCTTGCTGTATTTGGGTGAGTCATGCTATGCTAATGAAGCCATTGGTGTGGAGGGTTAGTTCGTCCTCATCCCTGCCTCCAATCGCACCAGGCTACGCCGGGCTGGGAAGAACTTTGTGTTGCATAACAGCATTGCCACGGCTGCTGGGAAGTGGCATTTAAATGAGCGGTCTGTGAGACAGAGATGGGGAGTGGGAATAAGAGGGAGGAGGAGGAGGAGAAGGGCGATGAAGCCCGGGCCTGTCAGGAGGTGGTAAATAAGGTAAAATTGAGTAAGTCACATTTATTTTGTGACAGAAGAATACATTTGAGAGAATAAAGAGTCCTACACAGCTTTGCAGTACAGGAACTTGAGGCGAAAGTGAACTTTCTATTGATTCCTGCACACAATCTTCAACTTGACATTTGTGCTTCATACTGGCACTTTAGAGTCAAGTGTTACCAGTTATTTCAGTGTGTGTGTGTGTGTGTGTGTGTGTGTGTGTGTGTGTGTGAGAGAGAGATAGAGCCAGTGTGCTGGCAGGCTGCTCTCAGCAGTGTCTCTCTTACATAACCACAACATCAACAACATCAACTCCAACTTGCAACCTGGTCTAGTCCCAGCGGGACGGTCAGATGCCGTACCGGTATGTTTGTGGATCAGACTGTAAGCCATGGTTACGCTGGCGACGGGCCACACGAGGGATCAGACTGAAGACCCCCGTTGTTTCCACTGCAAAAGAATGTTGCTCTGCATGTCACAGTCTCCGTGGAATCACTGCTCGGATTGCAGATAGACAGTTACGCAAATTCTTCTTGTGGAAGCTTGTATCACTTCACATATGCCGCCCCCAGGAAATCCATTATACTAACATGTCACACTCTACAGGTTTTAGACTGGAACTTTATTTCATCATAAACTGGACACCAGAGCAAATACACAAACTTCCACATGAGCTTAGAAATCTTTCACATTTTCAGTAAGTTCCCGGAGGGGGAAAAATCCCTCATGCTTCACCTCAGTCACATACACCACCAATTTGAACTACATTACATTTCCATCTGCTATTTTCCTAAATGTTTAAAGCCAAATAGAACCACACATTCTTGCGAGGAACAATCGGACATACTGGACTATTTATTCAGTGTTGTAACCGATCATGTGATTGAATGATATAAGTGCTGATCATCATAGGACAAAACATAAAGAGGCTCTGCTCAAAGGAACATCGCTACCCTGGAGGTTCACAACAGCTGAACAATGAACAAGCTAAGAACTCGATAAAACTCTGTGGTGGACAGAAAAAAAGACACCACGGTAACATTTACCAGAAAATCTGCAAAGCCCTTTTGAATTTTGACCAAAGAAAACAGAATAGCACTCAAGCTGGGTAGTTGATGGAGAAAGGAACAATTGTTTAGCCTAAAACTTCCAAGAAGGAGCAACAGACACTGGGAGGTAAGACTATGCATTTCTGTCATCCAGGTCTCCAGGGTTGATAACTACTGCCCCCTGCCTTGTGTCTGTTATTATTGCAGCCAGTAGGTCTTAAGATCTGTCACTCAGGTTTCAATCGTCTCTCTCGCTCTCATCTTCTTCAGTGGCTCTTCCGTTCATGGCCTCTACCCTGGCCATCAGCAGCGGCAGGTTTATGGCCAGGCCCGGCACCTCCTCGTCAGAATCATCGTTTGGAGGATAGAAGCGCTTCGCCTTTGCCAAAAAATCTTCAGCTATATCTAGATACAGAAGACGGTCCTATGAGGAGGGAGGAGAAGAAGAAGAAGAAGAAGAAGAAGTGGTTGAAGCAGTTAAACCAAACGTGTTTTTCGACACAATATGGGTGTTACAGTGGCAGTGTCCTCTACTGCACCACAGGTATTGAGTAAGTCAACCTATGTCCTCCGGTGGCTGTGATCTGAACCACGGGTACAATCTTGATTACTTCAAAATGATAATTATAACTGCACAAAGATAATCAGAATAAATACAATTTTACGCAGATAAGATAAGATAATGCCCCTAGCTTTAGAGATACAAGGCTCAATAGAGTTTTGGATTCTTAAGTTATTTGAAAATAGACCTCCTGAGGTAAGGACTCCTCGTTGTGGCCTGGAGCACAGGGATGGAGTAAACACTCCCACATTTAGGTTTAGGTCATGGTTAGGATGAGTGATATGTCTCACCCCACCCAAGGGTGCTTTTTTCTTTTTTAACCCTATTCTCCAGGTCACAGCGAGGGCTCTCTCACTTGAGGGATTGGTATGAGTTCAAAGTTCACCAGGATTAGGAGATATCTTTCTGGCGGTGGCTCTCTGCTGTAAAAGACGGACGTCTCAGTGTGGAGCGTATGAAGCAGCTCACGTGCTGCTGGGGCATTACGCATACGGTCATGTGAGGCTCCAGCAGACACATTCAGCAGTGAGTCTGCCTCTGCCATGAAACCTGAAAACAAAACAAAAAAGAAAAGCCATTTCTGGTTACTCTGTATGAAGAAGCAAATATCAGTTCCAGTCCTCCTCTGTCCATTGTTACCCAAGTTCTCCAGGATTTGCTTCCATTTCTCTCTGACTTCTCGACGGGTATCTCTCATGGCCTCAATGTCAACACTTAGTCGGCGATAGCCCTGAACAAGAAAAAGCCAAAGCTTTTAAAAAAACAATTTCTTTCAGCTTGGTGTAATTTCTCTCTAGGACAGGCTCACCAACCTACTGCCCCAAAGCTGGTTTGAATAACTGATCATACAAATTGTTCACAGCTTGAGATGACTCATCATTTATGTTGTCTGTCTTTTGCACTCATTTGACTCTTTTGCACCTTATGCAAGTAGATTTTAAGACCTGTTTTGCACCAGTTAGAGTCACCTGGAGTTCTTTTTCACTACGGTGCAAGTTGTTAATGGTTTCTTTTTCCATCTTAAGCTTAAAACGAGTGAAAGAAGCCTCAGATTCTAGCTATTTCGTCTACATCTTCCCTCACATACCGTGGATCCCATGCGGGTCTTGGTCCTGGCCTGCAGCAGGCCGTAAAGGACCCGGTCGTCTGGTCTCTCCGAGTGGCTGCGGTCGCCTGGCTCACTCCACAGGTTGGTCTCCTCATCGCGACGCTTCTGGACTTCCCGGTTAAAATACTCCAACGGATCCTGGCTGTGTGGTCAGCCAATACACAAGCACAGTTATCACACTTTCACACATGCATAATCAGTTGTGACACACTTGACAATCACTTGTTGAAAATATGAAAGACATTTTTGGGTGATTTTCTTTTATATTCCCCAGGTGAGAAGTGTAACTGATAACAATACTCGTGTATTAAAGTGATATGTGGTGAAGGACTTCTCTGTTTCTGGCCTGTCTAATGTGTTCTTACGGTACTAAAGGCTGCTTTTCATCGTCGTCGTCGTTGTCTCCAGCACAGCAGCAGCAGCAGCAGAGCTTCCCAAAGACTGAACCCATCTAGAGTCGGTGAGTAGTAGGTGTTCACAATGGTTGATAATCCAGGCGTAAATCTTTGTTTCACTTCTTTGAATGGCAGAACAACTTCCTTGGTTCTTCAAGCGATAGTGATGCTGATTCCAGTGGCGAGTCTGATCTTATCTCAGAGGAAGAGGGTTTGATAAAAATGACCAGAAAGACCAACAGATCTAAAAAGTTTACAAAAGCAAAGGTCACTGATCCCCAAACTCTACCTCATTTTCATCTTCCCAATTTCAGGGCCCAGTCTCGGCTCCACATCCAGTAGAGGTTTGTCCGCCAGATCATATGCAAGAGTCCGGGTAGAGACGCTCAGGCAGATGGCTGCCCTAGGACTGGTACTTCTCTTCAGCCTTACACGGAGAACAAAGAGACCAGTGAGACGCTCGCTGGATCGATTAAAAAAAAAAAACACATATTTACAGAGCCACAGCCTCAGAAGACAGTCACAACATAATCATGTGAGCTGCTCCATGTCTTGTCCTAAGCATTGTGTTTTGCCCCGAGGACACCACATGTCCTCTTCAACAGCAGGTCTGATTACACACTCTGTATCCAATATACCAGGCTGTATTTGTTTTAAGATTATTTATCACCCTGTGTATATGGTCCCTGAGGTTACTTAACCACGAATCTGTACACATGTGATTAAATAACAATCATTAAATGGATTGCTTGGCATTTCTGAAGACTTCAGATGGCTTCATGTCCATGGATTATCTCAAGTCTGTTGGGGAAAAATCAGAAGTCTGCATTGTGAACATTGTGGACTTGTTGTAACAGCGTGTGTAACATATTTCTTGGGGTATTATTATTCACAATAATACGCTATGACATTATGCTCAAGTCACAGGGTATCATTGTAAATGACACAATTATCAGTGGTTTAAATTGGGATTTGTTGTGTGGGGCACTCTGTGGATTCCCAGAAAACAATTTGATAAACAACCTCTATTTTAAAATGCACTCTGGCACCTTTTCGTTGTTGTACTAAATCCACTGCATCTGTCTTGACAGTTTACTGAGGGGATTCAGATTATTAATACAACATATAATCAACTAATAAATTAGGATTTATTATAGATTAAACTACCCAGCAGTAGCCGTTAAATAATATGAGTTTCATCTTTACCAGCAGCAACATTAAAGCGATGAACATATTAATGCATCAATAATTAAATTAATTAACTTTTACTCGAGTAATATTTTGAATCCATGACTTCAGTTGTAACAAAGTATTTTACACTGTATTTCTAATTTTACTGAAGTTGAGATGCGAGTACTTCTTCCACCACGGTATCTTAACATTTCTTACACAAGCAGTGTCGGGTGTGCACCGCTTCTGAATGTGATATCTTCCTTTATACCCGTTTTTCTCCCAACAAATTTCTAGTTTTTTACCTTTCTAGTTTACCGTTGCAGTTCATTTTGGAGCCATGTCGCAATGTAAAGCAGCCTGAAGCACGGTTTGTATTTTAAAATAAAACTGCACCTTCTCTTTTGAAAAAACACAAAAAAAACATTAAGCTGTCTGCAACATCATCCAGCATGATCGGTTTGGCGGCGGGTCACTGATGGTCTGGGGATGCATATACTTGGGAGGGTCACACCAACCTCCACGTGCTAGCCAACGGTACCCTGACTGCTGTTATGTCCCGGGATGAAACCATCAGCCCCGTTGCCAGACCATCACACTTGTGCAACGGGTCCTGCATGGGTTCCTCCTGGTGCAGGAAAAGACCCGGTCTGATTCTGGTTTCCATTGAACGTTCTTGCAGCATTTTGTTCTCGACGAATTACACAATGAAGAAATCAATAAAGATTTCAACCTCCAGATCAATGTGTGATTTAAGTGTTCCCTCAATTTTTTTTGCGCAATCATTTTAAGTAAGACACATTCTGTATCACCTGTTGTAATTCAGACACAGTGGCAAAAATGAAATACTCCCAAAGCTCATATTTATACACATATACAAATAAGATATACCGAGTACAAATAGATAAAGCAAGGTCTATATGAGCTACTTTGTGTGTCTGCAAGTTAAATGAGGTTTGGAAGCCGGGACACGGTCATGAGTTCATATATTTTATTGGACAGAAGACACTGGTTAAGACTTAAAAACAGTATTCAGTATTCCTGTGATGGCTTTAAATTAACACGTGTGATGAATGATCCTACATATTCAAAGTATTATAAAAAAGTATGATCAAAGAAAACAAGTACTCTATGCAGGCTTCATATACATACAGTATAATGTGACAGTATTAAGCATTGATTTAACAACATCAAATAAATGCAAAACAAAAGAAAAGGCAGACGTGTCGTGTCACTGTGATAAAGGCACCAAATTGTTGATAACATTGATTTCTTTCATTTGACATTCTCAGTACAGTAGGTCGCTAAAATCAATCCTCACAAGTTATCCATTTAAAGCTGACTTGTTTTGGACTTCATAAGAAATAATAATCAGACTGTGATCAAAGCATTCACAAATACCTGGGCTTACAAAGTAAAATGTCTCAAGGCCATGTTGTGACTGTGATGTGGTGAGCGACCACATCACAGTCACAATCGCACAATGACACCCAGAAACATGCTCCTTCAACGTGTGAACAGTCGTTTCATGCCTCATTTCTCAAGATTGAAAAGCTCAAGTCACTCTCTTTTGTTCTGATATATATAGACCTGTCTTCTGCCGGTTTTCGTTATGGAACGGCACTCGGAGCGTGCAGACCTCCGCCAAGACCATGAACCCTCTGTTGCGATCCTGGGCCCATGCTACCCTTCCACCGAGCTTCATAAAAAATACAAATGCTGACAAACAAACCGAACAGAAAACACGACCTCCTTGGCGGATGTAATGATAACTCGGGATTTTCTGGAGGTAAAGCTAAAACTAGAAGCTGCATTTCTCATTGTATAAAAACAACATCATGCTCCATGATGTAAGAATAACCAGGGCCTGAAGGGAGGCCTGAACTAAAGTCAATGTAAATCATTTCAGCACATGAATAACTTGATGACAAATAATGAGCCGGCTGTTTCACCATAAGGCCACTGAAGGTCATCAGCACCAAAGATAACAAAGTATACAGAGAGCTACATATGAACAGCATCCTCCTCATGAGCGTGATAATTCATTGGTAACACAGATTAACAGATCTGCGTCCTGGTTTGACTTCCTGGCTGATCCCAAAGTGCAAAACCAAAGCAGTATTTACAGAAAGAGGACGATGTCAGACTAAAAGGCTTTCACTGTGTGTGTGTGTGTGTGTGTGTGTGTGAGAGTGGCGTCTCCATCTAGTGGTAATTAAACTGCAGGTGACTTCTTACCCCTTCTGTCACAGTGTAGGCAAGGAGAGTGAAGGCTGGACGTAGCTTTACTCAGTCAGATGTAAATGTTGGTTAGTCAGATGTACATATGGCAGTGAGGTGCACCAGAGAAACTTAAGAAGACGGTGTGGTAAAAACATACGCACAAAATAATCTAAACAATGAACAAAGGCAGCAAATCAATGGCTGACAATGTGTTCAGCAAGATAAAGGCCCATGAGAGACGGCTGCTTCATGCCATCGCAGCGGTTCTTTTGAAATAACCGAGACTCGAACAGTGAGAGTCGATGACCTCCTCCCCCAGGTTGTTTCAGTGATGTCCAGCCAGCCACACGAGGACTCGGCAGGCTCAGGTTGTACAGTTCTCATCGCACAACGGGGGACACGGCAAAACAACTACAGGTTCCACACAAAAATATGTACGTGATCACGACAAACTTTGAAATCTGAAAAACTCTTCTTCTCTTGTGACTGAAATGTGTGGTCACGTGTCTCCCGTCTCCTGCGATTAGAAGTCATGGTGGCACATCCCTTCAGCCGAGGGTACCGCTACGCCCCGCTTGTTTTTTAGGGTCCGCTTAAAGAGAGCAGCGGTGACACTTCTCCACCCTGCCGTGGCAGTTTAGACGTCTCTCCCGGTTTTAGGCGAGGTGGTGAGAGCGGAGAGAGGGCCGCAGCTCGGCGATGCGTTGGCGTAAATGGGACATGAACTCAAACATGGTGGCGGCCAGACTCTGGTGGATGAGGTAGCGAGGCAGTCGGCCCTGACGACACACAGAATGCGAGTGTTAAACACGTGTTGTTCAGCAGCTCGAAGATGCGTTTGTCTTTGTGTGTACTATAATTAAAAAGTCCATACTTGTCTTTGATATACTTCTGTTATTAGATTCTTGTATAATTAATAAAGTCATGTTTTAAACCTGCATCTTCTCACCTTCAAGTCTGTGTTCAGCACCCAGATGAAGGTGCAGACGGACGGGTTGCTGGTGGATTTGAGGACCACAAATCCTCCTGGACCGTTCTCTCCCCTGAGACCCACGATGAAAGAAAAGGTAGAGAAGAAGAAGCAAGAGAAGTTAAAGACATGAAACAAAAACACAACTGACCACTTTTGTCTAGATCGATCCGGTGGTCGTGCTCTGACCTGACGTAGCGACCGACTGGAGGTTTGGCGTCGTGGTCGGTGGCCATGCCAGCAGACAGGTAGCAGTCTCGTTTGCGCTCCACTCGTCGCACATTAACGAAGTCCCTAAAGGAAGAAATAAATCAAATCAGAATAGATGGGACAGATAAGAAACAGCCACAGATGGAAGCCTGCGGTGCGGATGTACCTCGCAGACACAACTCCCCCTGCTGCTCCGGATGACACATCATATGACACCAGAGTGTTGTCGTCAACCCTCTGAAGGATCTGAGGAGGAGGAGGAGGCAGAAAGCACCGTTAGACTTCATCACAACACAATGAAACAATAAAAGATATTCAGAACGATGACGTCAGCGTTGTCACCTGGCAGCCAGAAATGGTTCTGTTCCACTGGACCATCTTTTCCGGCTGCAGAATCACCTCCTGATACACGAGCTCAGCAGGACACTGCATGAAGGCCTGAACACACACAATAACACACACACGTTTCAAAATGCCCCTTTCTAACTTATGTTACAGTGGGATTTTTCCCCAATTAAAAGTGTACCTGATACAGTTACAGCAGAGTGTTCAAAAGGGCTTCACTGACTGCTCTCACTCTACAACAACGCAGCGCTAAATCAGTGCTAAACAACAAAACATGCCAATCGTTTGGATCACTAATGGAGCTTTTTTACAATGGACACACAAAGTGCTGATGTACCTTCAGAATAAAAGTCTTTCCATGGAAGGGGATCTCCAGAGTGTAGACGGAGTCTCCCGAGTCCTGACATGAAACAAAATACCGTTAGCACCGCGATGCTTCCTCTTTCATTTCAGTGAATCTAAGGAAAACTAGAGTAAAGACATTTTTCTGTGAGTCTCCCAAATAGCTCAGTGAGTCTCCTATCTCTGCTTTCTTAATAGCAAAGAGCTGTATACACAATATTTAATTAACTACATCGCAGATATATGATACAACTGGCTGTAAGTTATAGTTTTAGTACTCTGAATATCCATCCTTGACTCTTATTTCTCTCCAAACAAGCTAGTAAAAACTGGATCCATCAGGGTTTATAGTGTACATATTCAATACATAGTACGGCCTGATCCAGTTAAATTAAATTGCAATCAAACCCCAACCGTCCATGTGGCTTGTAGCAAAACACTTGTGTGTGTGTGTGACCCCGACCGAAGGGGAAGAGGAGCCACTTCTCTATTGGAAAGTCACAAATCAAACACTCACGTTGTTCTTTTCAAACTTCCAGTTGTCCTCCTGGTCCAGGATCTGTTCTACCACCGACATGGCCTCGCGACCCTGACTCACGTACTGCTTCTCCTGGAAACAAGAGTGAGAGGAGGAAAGAGAAGGATCAGTCAACGACCGGGCGAGGAGCAGAACACCTCCTCAGGACGGATGCAGGGTACCTGCGTGGTGACAGCTTTGCGTCCGAGACCCTCCTCATCCAGATCCTCCTCGGAGCCTGCGAGACACAAGTTCGGAGGCAAAAACTTCAAATGAGGCTCAAATGAGAAATGTTCAAAAGCTACGGAGAAGACAAGAACTCGAGTCGGATTAAACAAGAACCGATCTACGGAGACGAGCAGACGTCACCTTCGACGGACTCGGGCGGAGAGTAAAACTGTCCGTCTGAAACAGCTCGCGGGTAGATCATCGGGGCTCGCTCACAGGCTGCGTTCACCGCTGCCAGGTACGCTGATGTCAGAGGAGCACAATTTTTAAAAAAGGAGAAAGATATTTTTGTGGAGTCGTGCTCAAACTAGTCAGGAATCTTTCTCTCACCTCTCTCATCGTCGGCCTCCTGAGTGAGCACCTTGAAGTCAAGGAACCAGGTCTCCAGCCAGGCCACCACGAACGAAGTGATGGGTATCACGTAGCCAAAGGGGTTCTCGGAGAGGAGCTGTGAGGAGACAAGAGACCGTGTCGTCCTCAAGCTGCGTAACAGTAAAAATTACTAGAAGTGCTATCGCAAGAGGCGGCAGCAGTGTTTGACGTTGGTTTACTTCTCTAGTGTTGGATGTAAAGAAAGGTAAGAATGCCTGTGATCGTCTGCGTGACATAAAACAATAAAGTCATAAACCGGCTCATCGTCCGGTCAGACAGCTTTTATTACTGGCATGAATGCAGAAGTGAAAAGGTCTTTGTGGTTTTCACTGATATGCTCTCTCACACACACACGCACGCACACGCACGCACACGCACACGCACACACACACACACACACACACACACACACACACACGGAGGGGGACACTCACACTAGACACGATGACCTTAACGACGAGGAAGACGCTGGTCACTAGAGTGGTAACCTGAGGAGGAAGATAGATTTGTGTTGTAAATCATGAAGAGGTATTACATCGTCTCACCAGTGTGTGTTTCACTATGACTCGTCTCACTTACCGCAATGACCCACCAGTGCCTCAGCCGAAACGCAGCGTAACCCACTTGTAGACACAGGAAACGAAACAAGGCAAGCAGCTGAGGAAAGGAGGAAGGAACAGAAAAATAAAGCGACCTCAGGCATTTAATGGCTATGGTGTGGTTCAGAGATGTTGACTTATGTTAGCATTTGCTCCTCTCATGTCAATTAATGCAGAAATAAAGATACTATGAAATGAAATGTACACAGACTTACAAAGATGTCAAAGAAGGAAGACCTGTAGTCATAACTGACAACCTCCTTCTTCAAGCTGTCCCAGATTGTGCTTGAGATCTGCAGGAGAACAGAGCAGAGTCCACATCAGAGTCTCACCGGAAACCTAACGTCTTCTGTCTCTAGAGCCCAAAATGAAAGCTCACATTCAGCTCAATGATCCACAGGAGGGAGATGAAGAGCAGGTCGAAGGTCACGAAGAGGCAGAAGGTGCGTCGGACGTCGGAGATGGCCTTGCGCTCGGCGGGTGGTACCATGTACGGCGAAGGGAGGGACAGCGACGTGGAGTAGGAGGCGTTCAGGGAGGCGATGGCAGGGAGGCTGGCCCCGAGCTCCCCGTAGTCTCCACCTGGCATTCCTGCGGCGAGACAGGAAACTCCCCCCCCCGCTGAAAAAGGGAGATAAAGTTATTCCGTGTTCACCAAAAAATGGGGAGAATGTGCATGAAAAAGGGCCAATACTCATACAGTCCCTGACAAAAGTCTTGTCGCTTGGGTACAAGTTGACCTTAAGTGCCCCTCAAATATATTTGTAATCTTTTTTTTTTTTTTTTACAAGAAATGGCTAATTTCAATCCCAACAGCTTTTGAAATAATGTTTTGGTGCCAAACGAAACTGCTGAAAAGCATTCGAACGTTCACAGCTTGGTAAAGCCCACTGAGTCAGTTTTTGCAAAGACAAAAGTCTTGTCGCCTTGTCATATGATGCACCCAATCCTAGATTACAGCCTCACCTGTGATCAATAATTGATCAATCAATTAGTGGGTGTGTATAAAAAGAACCCCAGCACACCAGACCTTCACATCAACTGCAACTTGACCTCTGACAACATGCCTAAGATTCACCCTGAGACCAAAGCGTTGATTATCAAGAGGCTGAAGCTCATGGAAGTCAAACAAGATATTAAATATGGATCTCGCAGCACCACTACTTAATTCACTGATGTGATGCAACATATTTTTGTATTTGAAGTAAATTATTTGTTCAATTTTCACATTACTCTCTGTAGGCGACAACTTTTGTCTGGCCAAAATCTGACCTTTCTGTGTTCATTAAATGATCAATCTTTCTTCAGTGAAGCAAATTTATTTTAGTATATTAAACATAATTTGGGAGGGTTTTAGCTTTCATAAGAGCCATTTCGAAAACCAATGGATTAATTAAAAGTCAGGTTATAAGCTGTTGTTTCTACAAAATGGATAAGTGACAAGACTTTTGTCAGGGACTGTACATTGTTCACCCAATGTGGATTTAAAATCCCCTAAAAAGCCGAGTATAAAAGTAGTTGAATAGTAGTAGATGTGAATAAATGTGAGAATACATTTCCTCTCTCCTTGCTGATCTGCGTGCAGTCTCATGACGTTCCTGACCTCAACAGATAAACAGCTTCAGGTCTCGTTGTTAGTTTATTGCCTCTCTACATAGAGCACCATTGTTTAACCGTCATTTTGACCGGTTGTCTTTTGGCCAACAGTCCACGACCAGTGTTTCTTAAGAATGTGTTTCTCCATTAAAAGAAGTTTCTGTAAAACAACTCTATGACACTGAGAGCACAATCTGGACTACACAGCATGCTTTGTGTCTGTTTGTGCTGCTGGATGTTTGAAGGATGGTCCAGGATCTGATCTTATAAAAGACTCAGTGAGAAAAAAAACAATGTACCTTTTTAAAAAAAAAAAAAAAAAAAAAAAAATCACATTTCTGTCAGTACAGTAGGCTGCTTGCACTCTGGCAACAGATGTTTTGGCAAAATCATTTCGTGTAACAGGAAGAGTGTTTTTCAGTCGATGCTCAGTGAGTTGTATTTGCCTCTTGAACTGTTTCCAGACAATGAACTTAATGTAAACAAGCATCATGAAGCATCTCCAGGTGATCTAGTTAACGGTACATGGAGGGACTACATTCATCAGGACATCTTTAGCATTCAGATTTGTTTTAGTGGTTTCAGACTTCACTTCTGTTAAAAACAAACAACTGTCGGTACTTCAAGCTAACAAGCTAACTCACCTGTCAGCCAGTGTTACCAATAAAACGACTCAGACAGAACACAACAACCAGGATCGCTGCTACACGTTTGTAAACAAAGAAACACTATTTAAACTAAAAGTAGCTAGCTAACTAGCCTTTGGTGTTAGCTATCACGGTTAGCTTGCCATTACACCGGCTAAGTTACACCATGAAGTAAACATCACACACACTTCCTGTCTCGCGTGAACAGCTTCACAAAGTTAGACTGTGAAACAAGTACATGTCGTTAACGTAAGCCCGCATTTAATTATTTCATAAAAAACCCCAAATTTAAAGCATTAAACTTACTTGATTTACCGCATCATCATGTCAGCGTTACCAGTCTTCCGGGCTGACATTTCAGAGATGAAATGTTGCCGCAAGATGTTTTCGTCCTTCGTGTCAACACGCGAAAAAAGAAAAATCACGTGCAAAATATCTGTCTGCGCTAAATGTTATTTAGGAAAATAAAATCAACACAATAGCAGACCAAAGGAAAACCCACCATTTACTTGGGGGAAATCGATATTGCCTAAGAAGCAGTTTGTTGGAGCTTTTTTTGTCGTTTGTGGAGGAGAAACCGTGCAGAGCAGCACGTGAGACAGTTTTTTCTTTCATTTAAAGAGTATTACTTTGTATACCACGTACAACCTGTGTTGGTGCTATTGCATTTAAATGTGGTCACACAATTAAAGCGAAGAAGAATATTGAATAAGATTTTACGTTTGACTTTGAGCCTGTATCGTTTTAATCATGAGTATATACTGCCCTCTGGTGGACACAGTCCATAACTACATGCTGATTGCAAGTTTTATTTTTGAATGTGTAACCGGAAGTACTACCGTGTTATTGTATCCAGCTTGACACAAATAGGCTGTAGTTACTCAGTGTGACCGCTAGAGGACAGGAAAACACATGCTTCGATCGTGGGTTGAAGGCTGGAGCTACTAATATTTATAAAGAAGAGAGGACAGTTCTACTCTTATACAGTAACCAGTTAAAACAATTTAATCCATCAAGTTATGATCATTTCTTTGTTTCTTTCTAATCGATTTAGTTTGGTCGCTTACTCGTAAACTATACTGTCAATTTAAGTACGCCTGTATTAAAGTGTATTTAACGTATTTTATGTATTGCAGTTCCTCACTGTGACCACTGGAGGGCAGTGCACAGTTCAAAATAAATAAATCAACCGTCGTCTCCACACTTCACCTAGCATCAAAGCAGACAGCTTCTTCTACAGTATAAAGATCGTTAGTTTAAGATAGCAAGGCTACCGGAAACGCTTACAATGTAAAATGTTTTTTTGCAACCGTGAATGGAGGTTACCATGCGGAGGAGTGACGTAGAGAGGCCAGATATGACTCTGATAGCGGCAGCGACCTGTCAATCACAGTAAGCCCGCCCTAAATTATACTTCACTTTATCCTCTATTTTACTCTAAATTGACCATCATTTATTAAATGAACATCATGCTGTATTGAAGAAGACTTGAAATTAGTGATTGAGACCATAAACTCATGTTCACAATGTTTACTGAGGTAATAAATCAAGTGAGAAGTAGAGTCATTTTCTCATAGACTTCCATACAATCTGACTTCTTCGCCCCCTGCTGGTCAGTAGAGAGAATGCAAGTTTTAAGACACTTCCGCATTGGCTTCACTCGTCAGAACCGGAGAATGCCGCCAGTTACTGTGCCGACCGTTAACTTGCCTGAGAGTAAAGAAAGACACAAAAAACAAAAGACACGTACTAACTACAGCTTCCGGTGAGGACATTCAAAATAAAGCTTTCAGAATACACACAAGTGTACAGACCGGTATGCACTGTTTTAGGGGAATAGAAATGTTACACTCCAAAAAAACTACTCGCAACACTATCGTCGTTTAAAGGGGGACTCCCGTACCAAGTTGGATGTATCAACACCTCAAAGCAATACGCCAAACACCACAGGAACATTTGCTCACACTGTCAAGAAATGCAAGAGAATACCCTGTCCTGTTCTTCCGGTTTCGTTAAAAAACTGAATATGGCGTTTAAAAAAAACAAGTACTTAGCTGGATGTACAATATTATAAATATAATGTCATATTACATATCTTCTGTCAACTTCAAAATGAATCATTGGCCTACTTTGAGTTATTTTATAGCTTTTTTTTTTTAAGCTTTTGAACTAGCTCAAAGATTTATAGGGGTCGATTTCATTTAGTAGTGGCTATATGTGCATAAAGATATGGAAAGAAGAAGAATATTTTCATTGTAGAACACATATTTTGATGACATTTTTCTAGACCTAATAGACCTAACTAATAAATACAAGTTTCTGTGGAGGTAGAGTTATTAACTACTTTATTGTTATTTTGCACTGGAAAGGTATATTTCTCCCGCTGATTTGGCATGAGAATGAAGTTAAGATAAAAACCAAGTCATCAATTGTGATAAAGTCACGCAACATATCTTTCCTATACTTTTGGGTTATTTTTAAGAAAATGTTACAGTAGTAATAGAGCTAGAATATGTCTTAATAAACAGCACCAGAACAGTTTCAGTGTTTGTGTTGTATGAAGGACGATGGCTGAAAAGGGTCGTGTGCAGCAAGCAAATGAATGAAAAGTCATATTTCCTTACGTTCGGATCAGTTTAAAGGAGAAAAGGAAAAACTGTTTATTTTGATATCATATTGTTGCTCACTTTAAAACAACTACATTACATTGAGAAACAAGAGAATAGAGAAAAATGAAATAAAAATAAAGACAGCCTAAGCATTAGAGTTCATACATGTCTTGGTTGTTTTCTTCTGACCGGGGTGGAAAGCGGAGGTGAACAGAGAGCGGAGGAGAGATGACGCCATCGGCCGCAGAGTCACGTCCAGTCATCCCACTATTTGGGCAGGTCAGGGGTCAAAGTTTAACACAGTTTTTATGTACAAACTGCAGCCCAGATGATAAAAACAGCAAGTTTGTGCAGTGACCATTTTGCTCAAATGTCAGTCAGTAACCGTAGACAGTAGAAACATTGACAGCGCTCAGCTACTCAAACACTGGACATTAGATTAGAAAAATAGCTCTTACAACATATCCATGATGCACAGTCAAAAAGAGGACAATAGAAAATTGTCAACATACAAAAGGGAATGCATGAGCACTAATAAATCAACAGTATTGGATTTTAAATCACATTTTTTGATTCCTTAACATGGTGTAAGTTCACAATGAATCCAGTTTAAATGTCTGATGCATGGAGGCAACGGTTGGGTGTTTTAAACTAATTAGAGGTAGCTTTGCCCTTTAAAGATTTCTTTGTAAGCATACTGTGGTATGAAATAACCACATACATATACTCACTTACTCATGGATTCAACAAAATTATAGACAAAAACTTTTTGGTTCTTATTACTGAGTCTTATCTAAAGTGATACTCCAAATATTACTGGTGTCTATCTTTTTATCATAGATTCACTTTTGGAAGATGTAACTAACAGGCAGAGTAGAAGCAGATTATGATACAGAAATGGTCTGACAAGTTTCTGTGGGTGTTTTTACACTTTTGGATGCTTTGATGAAATTAATTAATTAATTAAAGTCGACTACGTCTGCAGTTCTCCCTCAAGCAATCAAGAGGTTAAAGCTATAATCCATAAGACTTCAGTGTGTGGTAACTTAACACAACTCTGATACAGTGTTAGGAGAGTGGACAGTAAACAGTTAGGCTGATATCAATGAGACAAATTCAAAAAACAGTAATCCAGGATTACACGCAGCAATGTTTCCTGTGCATCCTTTGTTTTTAGGTATTTTGAATCCCTCATGAGAGAGGCGGACTCCGCCACGAACACTGAGAACTGCCATATAGAGAGACGATTACAGAATCTGAATACATTGAAACATTGTTGACCATAACAAGCATTACACTGGATTTCACTCCATGAAAATATTAAGGATTACAATTTTAAGTTCTTGATTGGTTGGAGTATCACTTTAAATTTTTTGATCAAACTTCTGCCACGAGATGGCAGTGCATGTACATTTAATCTCAACATTGAATATGCTGCAAATCAGAACGGAGATGTTTCAAAATAAAGTGTAGAATGTATCGCACACATTTAAAGACTTTCAAGTACTTTAGAAAAGGTTGATTAATGTGTCCAAGAGAGTTTATATGTGTGCGAGTATGATTATTGTGGAACTATCACCCTCTTTAAAGGAACATTTAGCTCTGTGCAGAAGCATTAAGGTAGAGGGAGGACTGGTCTTACAGGGTATTTGGTCATGTTGACCTCGTTGGCCCCTTCGCTCTCAGTACAAAGGGACATCAGGGCCAAAGTGGCGTCTGTAGATCATTCCTCACCTGCTCATACGGGCTGACTCCTGACACACAAACTGCCTCTCTGTTCTCTCTTTAATCCACCGTTACCTTCAATAGAGGTGAAGTAGTAGAGAGATCTTTGCTCACTCTCAATGGAAGTATCTTTCTCATCCTCACTCGTCTTCACACATCCACAGAGCAGCACAAACCTGTTAGCTCGCCTCTTCTGAGTTCTTTAGATTTAAACCACTTGACAAAACACCTTCACTCTCCCCAGTTTACCCAACCCAGCCTCTCTCTGTCTCTCTCTCTCTCTCAGTTACTGCCCCTACTGTTCTCCACTGTTGTTTCTTTGATTCTGGCCCCCTCTTCCTCCTCTTCCTCCTCCTCCTCCTCCTCCGGTGCTGCTTGGATCTGCTTGGCCGTCTCTCTCACGCTGGAAAACTTGACTGACTGCTCAGTGGTCGCCGTCTCTTGGTGGTCTACGGAGACAAAGACTGATGTCGAAGGATGCAGTAAAATCATGACACAAAGTTTTGCCATTCATATCAATGTATCATAATTATGGAGTGTTTCTCTATTGAGTTAACAGAGATAACTGGAGGACAGGAAGACAGTAGAATTGACAGTGAGGCTGGAACAATTAGTTTATTCACCGATTAGTTGCTTGACAAAAAAAAGGCAACTATATAGATCATTTATTAGCTGTTTAAGTCATTTTTTTAAAGCAAAAATGCTTAAATTTCCCTCCTTTTTTAGTCTTCTATGATAATAAACAGAATATCTTTAAGTTTTGGAATGTGGGTGGGACACTGATGCTATTTTATAGACTTAACGATTCATTGAATAATCGAGAACATTATTAGCAGAGATTTGGTGATGAAAATAATTGTTAATTAGTTGGAGACCAAATCGATAGAAAGATCGAAAGATGAAGGTTCTATATTCTATAATATATGAAAGATGTTTGTTTCTAGCTTATCTTATGTTATTAAGAAGCAAATAGACTGATGCATAATCAATTCAAGAATGGGCTGTACTATATAGAAATGTAATGTGATGTAAATGTAATTCTGCAAACCTACTTCAGCATTTCAGCAGGCGTCAACAAAGGGATTTATTGAGAGAGCTTCTGGGCTGACAGAGCAATAATTCTGTTATGAAATGCCACTGTTCTCATGTGATTTAATGGAGATTTAAAAAACAATAATCATGCAGCATAAAACAAAATAATAAGGATGTGTTTATACAAAAAAAAAAGTTCCCTCCAACTTGAGATTTGTGTATTATTTTTTTCTTTTGATGGAGATGAAACTCCCACCGCTATTCTGCTTCAGCACATAACTCAATCTCAGTCAAAAGGTTTTACACTCTAAATATAAACTAATAGAAGAAGAGCGGAGGCGGTAGAATACAGAACAGAATGAGGGAGCACAGCCTGCTCTGTGGGCTTGTTAGTCCTGTCTGGCCTCTGACTGGTCGGTGTTGCGTGCAGGCCTTTAGTCGGCTGCAGTGCGGCCTCTGACAGATTTGGGGCATGAGACAGAGAGCTGTACGACACCGGGGCTGTCTCTCAACGCACAGAGCTTCATCCGCGCTGCTGCTCGGCCCACAGAGGAGCTCACCTGACCCTGAACGCTCCGGAAGACTTTGAGAAGAGCATCTCTGCTCTACTACGAACAAATAGGGTTTTATATTACACTTGTTATGATCACACTATTTCACAGCATGTTATGCCTTTTACCTCTTTACTTTTATTTTTTCAGTCACCTTGCACGTTAAGTTGTTTTCCCATTTTTGTAAAATACAAACTTGATGGTCCGACTTTGGAATATGTTGCTCTCTCACATACTGTCACAAAGACAACAAAAGAATTTGAAAATAAGTCTGCTGGAGATATTCTCACGTGAGAGGCAGAGAGTAATGTAGGGCATCTACCTTACTGAAAACACTCAACTTGGGCTCAGTGAAAAAAAATCCCAAAAGACTTTGAATGAGGTTTATGGTGACACGTTATGTATCAAACGTGTTTTTCTCACTGTTTGAGGAAGATTATCTTCGAAGGGAGGAAAATACGTCCTGAGAAAAGACAATCCGTCACACTGCTCTCGGGACTCAAGGGATACTTTCCAACTAACCTGCAGCTAAAATAGCTGGATGTGCGCATACCTCCTTTAATAAAAATGAATCCTGAAATCTTGAACTATGTGAGGTGTTTGCAGACTATCCGGTTAAATATAGATGGGCAAACTGATGGAAAAAGACATCTTTAGATACTCTGCACTGCATATATCAACAGCATGTGCAGCATAAAGACTATCACTCTCATTTTTAGTAAACCAATTTCCCTTGATCTTTTATATGAGCAGGACATTTGTGGTTAAAACAACAACAACAACAACAACAGTGTTGTCCTTGCTGCTTCTGTGCGCAGTGTTGCTGCTGCAGCCATGTTGACAGAGAGCCTCTCTCTCACCAGCAGCTTTGGTGGGAGATGTGTCCTCTCCCTCCTCTCCCTGCCAGTGGTCCCCATCCTCCTCCCCTTCACAAGGGTCTTCCAAAGGGGGGTAGATACCTAGGTGCTGCATTTGTGCTTCGGCCATCTTCTGCACGGCTACACACAGGTAAAAACAGCACACACACACACAGGGAGACAGCCACACAAACACATGGACACAGGGATAGAGGGATCTATTGTTTTGGTTTTACCACGCTTCCACACTGTCAGTTTTTATCAAGCCTCACAGTGGTTTTTGAATACATGCCAGGCAGGCAGGAAGCCAATTAAAGCACATGCACTGACAGACAGGCAACTGCAAAAACAATATCCCACACTGATGTTTTTGAGCCTCCGTTGTTTTCTATCCCTCCTCTCACCCTGTTCTCCCATCTGTTTGTTTGCACCCTCGTCTTTCCTCGACTGCCATGCCCTCCTCAGCGCTCTCGCTTGGCAGTGCTGACTCACACTCTTCTCTCTCTCTCTCTTTACACTCTCCTCTTTTGTGATATTACCTCAACTCCCCCTCTCACTTCCGCTGGGTCACCTTGACTTCTCTCCCCTCTCTCTCTCTCTCTCTCTCTCTCTCGCACACTCAGATACACAGTGCGGCACTGAGGCAGGTCACTTATTCTAGCATAGGTTATGTAATTAGAAATTATTCTGAGGTATAGCTCTCTCTCTCTCTCTCTTCTTCTCTCTGCGCAGGAGCTAATGAAGGACAGATTTGTGATGCGGGAACGAGGCCTCCTGGCTCATTATATCATCACTCCACATGCATCACATACCCATAAAACCCCATTAAAGGAATCTCTGCTGACAAGCTCCGTAATGCAGATGTTTGCTCCTTTAGCAGCCACATGCAACAAGCAGGAAGCCACAGGCATAAAGTCACAAAAGAAAGTACATGTTTGTGTTCATGTATTTCTATCCTGCCTATACGTGCGTGTTCATGTCTGCCTGTGTGTGTGTGTGTGTGTGTCACAGCTGTATACACAACTGATGGTAATCCAGGATGATCCAGACTTTCCTAGACTCACACTCAGTGTCTCACAGCTGTCACACTCTAATCTCCCGCTTTCTCCCGTTCTCTGTCAGACACAAATATACAGATCCTGTTGTGGAGTGTACAGTAACAAAACCCACGGAAACATGGCTATGCATATCACACATGCACAGGGAATCAAATAGAGGCTTTTAGTGCATATCAACCCATCTGTCACATGAAGTTTTGTCCCCTTTGTCCGCTATCATGAAGCATGGAAAGCGAGGAGATTGACTGCAGCGAAGCACGGTAAAACACAAAGCACTTAAACACAAGGATGAGTCACAACACACAACTAGCACCATGTTGTACCGATACTGCTCACTATACCTTTGAGTGATGGAGGCTGATACACGTTTGGATTGACACGTTTTGGTTTGAGCACTCCGTTCTCTCCTACGACCCACTGTGAACAAAGAGAGAGAAACAGTAAATGATTCATGCATCAAAAACAATAATTAAAAAGTGAAATGGAATAAGTCGTTTTTTTTAACCAGGCAATATCGTTTAGTTTATTTTGGATGTTGTTTTAATTTAGTTTAAAAAAAACACATTTCACTGCTTATTTTCATTTTATTATTATTTTACTATAATAACCCTGAATCACACGTGTAAGTTGCATAATGGACCATGATTGGATGACCGTGAAAACGGCCTCCTGGTGTCAAACTCTGCGCACACATCACTCTGCACATGTGAAGGTCAAAGCATCCAAGTGAAGTAACAAATTCACATTTATGTCTTTGTTCCAAAACGTCACAGAAGAAGGCAAGATACGGCAATTTAATCAATTATTCTGCACATTTCATACATAGTTGCATAAAAGATGATGATGCAGTTTATGATGCTGATATCAAGAGACATGTTCAAACCAAAATGGCTGCACCTTTACATCAAATGAATACCTTCTTTATTTTACACACTGGCTTTATCTCTATGGCATAGTCACCACATGTGTTTGTCAACCATGCAATGCAATTTTCAATGTCTTTCAGCCACATCTTGTAGCCTTCCTCAGTAGATAACAATAGTTTTCCAGCTATTTCTAAGGTGAATAATAAACCTTTCAAGCTCAGGGAATTTAAAATGTTTAAAAGTTTGAATTAAGATCTCTTGGGTTTGAACATGGTTGACCACACAGCATGAATTTGTGATGATTAATTAACACATCAGAGGATCCAGAAGTGTTAAAAAAGTGACATTAGAAAGCAAACGCCAATTGGCAGCTGATATAATAGAGAAACACAGCATTATGTTGTTAAACAATGAAATGATGAACTCCAAAATGAGGGTGGGTGACTCTTTAGTTGTCGGGATAGAGTGGGAGGAGGACAGATGAGAATGCACAGATACTTATTACAGAAAAGTGTTCCGACTTCACCTTTACCTGATGGGTGGACTGATCATCGTCAGGAGATGATTGGTCGGCTACTCTAAACAGTGTGGCAGGGGTTGGCCTCCTGCGTCGGATCTATAAACAAACACACACACACACACACACACACACACACACACACACACACACAGTATTATTAATAATGCCCAGCACAAAGCCTTATCAATCAAGTGGAAATCCTTGAGAGTTCACGCTGGTGAAGCGCATGCTGGGGCCTCGCTGACTTCACTACTGATCAGGTCAGAGCACATGCCCCGGTCAGTAGAGCAGAGGAAGACTCATTATGTAACTCTGATTTCAGAGACAGATGCAGTTAAAAGGCATGTTGTGCAGAACAGAAGCTCTATTCATGCTTGTTGCTCAAGTTTCAAGTTACTCAGCATTTTAGAAGCGTTAAAGCTTTTGATACAGGGGGTTTATTTGAAGTGAATGACCTCTTCACACAACACACAAGTGTGTGTGAATGAGCTCCATTTACCATCATGTATACACCCCCTAAACACAGGGACCATGCAAAAGAGGAATTCAGACTCAATGAGCCCCAGCAACCAGCCCAGACACTCCCTTCCCCTCCGCTGTCCAGTCTCCCTCTCAAACACATACAAGTTCCCTGGAGGCTGAAGCCAGATCGCTGTCGGTCTGAGAGCAGACAGACAGACGGACTGCAGGTCCGCACTTCACCTCTAGAAGAAGTCACTGTGCACAGCACCTCTCTGTCCTTATAGGAACAAACACCCGTCTGTGCCCCTCCAGCTCACCAATATCGTGCCCATTAGACTGCACTCTTATAGTTTGGCATTTCTCTTGACAACACTTTTGATACTTGAATCCGTTTCAGTCATACTCCACCAAAACTCTTTTGAGTATTAAACACTCACCCTTTGTAGAGTTGAAAGCAATTAAAAAAGGTTTATAGCACCGACATGCTTAACAGGGTTGTGCATGAGGACTGGGATTCAAGTTGCGTATTCAGCTGTATTTTGGAGAAAAAAAATATAAGCGTCCTGAAAGTTAGTCAACAACTATTTTGATTATTTAAGACATTACTTTGATAGACGTCATTGTAAATGTAAAATGCATTTTGGTTTTGACTCCTTGGAACTTGTTTTGGGAAGTCTGAATTAATGTTAAGAGTGTTTTCTGACATTTTATAGACTAAATGATGCACCAATTAATCAGACGTATAGTGTACAAAAAGAAGATAATTGTTAGTTGCCACCCTACACAGGTTTGCAGCTGTGGTTTGAGCCATTTCTCTGGATGTGGTGCTATATTTCTCTATAGTGACAACAGCTTCACCAGAAAGAAGCGAACTGAAACCGTTTTACAAACCATCTGTCACGCAAACAGGAAGTGACTGTTTGATACACAAAAGATAATTTTGGGGTGTCATATCACTTTCATCACAAGACTGAACACTCCTGAGCAGAATGTGTGAGGCCTTTGCTTCACAAAGAAAGATTTACATGCAGAAAGTTTCACCCAAATTACCACAATTCTAAAGGATTAATAGCTGACATCTATAAAAAAATACCTTTTGGAAAATGTTAGGATAAAATTAAGTGTGCCGAGAGTGAAAGCAGTGCAGCTGAGTGGACTTGGCAGGTCAGACAAGCACGGAAGTGTCCTCTGTGGAGGAAGCCAACCTTGGCCATGGCATGAACCCCTGCTGCTGTTTACGGCACAGAGTAAAGTAGCCTGGCTCTATTTTGCGTTAAACTGCTGCACACAGAGAGACGTGTTTGTGTTCGGTTTCCCTCCGTCTTGTTAAGCGAGGTGTGCGTCATTGCAGTGAGGCACATGTTGCCAAAGCAGAGGCTTGCTGGGCCGCGTGGCTTTCAAACGCGACAACACAGAATAATCGTGCGTGGATTTCGTCCTTATTTATGGCACCAGACACACATTTTAATCTCATCACGCAACTTCCAGCTGTCCTGTCTCCCCTGGATCTCTCACACTATCTGTCTTTCTCCCATTCACCTCTCATTTCCATCTCACTTGATCATCTGCTTCCTCTATCCTGTTTACTTCCATATCCATCCTTCATTCCTTGACGGGGACATTTCCAAGACTTCTCTCCCCCTCTCCTTCCATCACCAGAATGCATCGCAACTGAAATCATGTTATTATCACTTTGTTTGTTTACTTGTCTGTCCTTTTCAAACCCCAACTGATCTCATCCACAGGGCTCCCCACCTCTCCCCCTGGCAAGGTGTGGCGGCCTGGGGCTCCATGCTGATGTGAACCCTGCTGCCTCGGCCTGCCTGACACCTGCTACCAGCCTTGCAGGGCGGCCTGTGTCTCACACAAGAGAAAGCAGACACCAGATGTTGCCATGACCAAGCCTATGCCCAAGTACTGGGAAACCCATGGACTGGGCCTCTATAAGCCCCCCCATGCAGAGAAATTATTTGTAAGGTGTATTTATAAAAGGTTAAGGTGAGGAAGGTATAAGAGACATGCCAACAGACTCTTACAGGTCTACAGTCATTTTAATCTGTTATTTTTCAAGCAAAATGCCCCCAAAAATTCAAGTCATAGCTTCTTTATTGAGGATGTTTGCTGCTTTTTTCAGTTTCTAAATTAAATTTCAGTTTTGGACTATTGTTCAGAACAAAAAAGATCTTTGGCTGGAACTGTCAAACTATTTTCTGACATTTCATAGACTTGACAATAATATATTACTCGGGACAATAATAATCAGATACATTGATCTTGAAAATTATTTTTAGCTGCAGCCCCAATTGATTTGTTCATACAAATCTACATAGAGCTTAAAAAGCGTCACTTCCCCATTTTACATTTGACTTTACCACAAATGTCTAGTTTAGTACAAAATAGCTGCCAGACCCCTTCAGTTCTACTTCTGTTTTTGGAGGTATGTTGTGTGTTATGTTACATTATTCTGGTTAAAGTGATGGTAATGTCCATAATAAAATCCAAAATAAATCCACGGGGCTTGCTCCTTTTAATAGATATCTAAAGAAAAACAGTTCTCAGCTACACATTAAGTACAAATATCCAGTGCTGGGTAGATAATGTCTTGGACAACATACCTGTAAACCACTGCTTGCTGTCTCTGTCATGAAAACTATGAAGCAAAAGCAAAAATTCCCATTTCTCATTCTGCCTGAAGTCCATTTCATGAACCCTGACAATTAAATCTATTAAGGTGTCATTGAAAGAGAATGCAGAATGAAAGCAGGAAAAGATTCAAAACTAGATTCCAATTTATTTATTCAAATAGAGATTAAAAAAAAATAGAGACGTGAGATAAATGGAAGTTAAAATGATTGTGTGGGATAATTGAGGTCACTGAGAAGCATAATCTGTCAACCAGATGATCTATTTACCTTAATGTGTGTGCTCACCTCCAGTGTGTGTGTGTGTGTGTGTGAGAGAGAGGATGCGTCTTCCTAATGTCATCATGTAATCATCCTGGTCTTGTGAAATGCCAAGTCATGACCTCCTAAACCAGGAAAAAGAATACAGTTCACCTCCATGGTACATTGTAAAACAGGGTGTATTGTAGATGAAATAACAATAAAACCCTAAAGTCAATATACATAGATGCATTTGCAGCAAGCAAATAGAGGTGTCCCTTTCTTACACACAACGTGCTGGTGACAGCGACGTGCTACTGTATGACTTTGGCAATGCCAGAGATGACATTAACACACGTAGTGACTAGTAATTTTCCAGCCTTAAAACCAAGCACACTCTCTCCGAGTTACATAATATGTATGCGACTTCCTCATTTACGCCAACACAGCGTGTGAGATTACTCCTGCTACGCATTATCTCTCAGCCTCTTCCTCCCTCCACTTCTCTAAACCCCCTGCCCCCAATCCCCCAACCCCCCTCCTCTGCTGCCAGCCATTGTTTTTGTACCAAGATCAGTCGTGCTGCTGTGGACTTGCACTGAGGGGCTCTAAGCAGGCGGCTGCCGTGGCCTTTCAGCGGTTCCACAGGTGAACGCCTGCAGGCATCCCCGAGAGGCAGCAGCACCTTGCTAGGCTTCACACAGAGATTTGGTCTCAATAAAAGCATTGGCTGATGGATCATACAATAGAAAGGAAATGCATCAGTTTATCTTAAGCAGATGAGTGAATTTGAATAATACACAAACTTTGCATTGTGTGACAGATGGAGGAGGTAGAAACCTCTAGATTCATTGTGGCGTGGTAGACTGTTTGGCTACTCTAAATCTGTTAACTCTATGTATTTTTTATTTAATCCCCTCTTATAAAATTATTATTAAACATCGTGCTTTTATATTCCTACTTTCATTGATTTGTTGATGATTTCTTTAAACCGCCATTGGGAGGTATGTTTTGAAACATCCCATAGTAATACAAATCTCATTATCTGAGAGTTGTATTTTTAGAAGTCTGCCAAGTGTAAATGGGCGCAAGTAGCCAGGAGGGACTCTAATACGGGACTCACCTCACTCTGTGCGGTGTGGGGTACATGAGTCATTAGCAAATGTTGACTTTGCACAGGTGTGCATGTGTGCACAGGTATGTGTGTGTTGGCTCAGAATAGTCTTGCGTAGCAGCCTCGGTGCAGATCTGCTGATATGGGTCTGCTCCCCAGAGGCCGTCCTCTAAGCTGGTGCTCTCGTGGCCGGGCCTATAAAAAGCAGCAGCAGTAGGACAGCATCAACTAGATTGGAGGGGTCCCTGGTGGGAGACAGAAAGGCTTTAAAACTCTGCCCCGCACTAGCGCTAACACTCGAGCATCTCGAGGGGAGCCAGCTGTGCAGACGGCCTCGACGCAAAGACAACACAGAGAGAAAAACACCTCAGATCTCCTTCCCCGTCAGCTTAAATCTCTCGTGTCCAACAGCATGGCATTAGATCGGGCCATGCTATTGAGCAGTGCGTGTCAACTCTCGTTGATAGGACAGGGAGCATCACTCAGATCCATTTGAAGCTTTTCTGAGTCTCTCCCTCCAAGCTGTAACCCAGGTCCGGATGGATAGATATAGATTTGTACAAGATTGATTTGTAGTTATGGCATCTGCCCACAGGCGCATGGCACTACATCACTCGGAAATAAGCACTTCTGTATGT